ATCAGATGATTTTTCAACAAAGATTGAAAGGCAGTTCTATAGAGGAAGAATAGTGTTTTCAATAAATAGATGCTAGAATAACTGATACAGATACTCCCATGTAAAAAAAAATTAAAACAGTTGGTAGTTTCCTTAGAAAGATTAATGTGTACCTAACGTGTGATCCAGCTGTTCCACTCCTATTTATTTGCTCAAATGATATGAACCCATATGTTAATACAGATACTTGTACATTAATGTTCTCAGCAGTTGTATTTGTAATAGACTAAAACTGGAAGCAACTTACATGTCCATCAAGTGCTGATTGGATAAATGCAATTATAATATATTTATACAATGGAATACTAATCAGCGATAAAATGAAATGTACTGTTGATACACACAACAAGAAAAGGGATAAATCTTAAAATAGTTAAGCTGAATGAAGGAAACCGGACAAAGATTCTATTTATTTAAGATTTAAAAAACCAAAACTACTCTGCGAAAACAGAATGCATATCAGTGGTTACCTGTGGGTTGAACAGGGAAGGGAGGAGCAAGATAAAGGATTATTACCAAGGACATAAACTTATCAAAGCATTTCAAATTGTAATTTTCAGACATAGGCAGTTTATTGTATGTTGATTATACCTTAGTCAAGCTTTTTTTTTTTTTCAATTTTTTATTGTGATTTGGGTGAAAGTTTACATAGCAAATTGGTTTTTTCTTTTTTCTTTTTTTTTATTGTGATTTGGGTGAAAATTTACAGAACAAATACACTTTCGATACAGCAGTTCACATACACTTTGTCTCATGATACTGACCACAATTTACCACAATGCAACATCTCCCCTCCTACTTCCTCCCGATAGTTACCTCTTCCCTGTGTCCATCCCTCCATGTACTCCTGCCCCCTGAGCTATCTCCCTGTGCATAAGCAGCCTTTCTTGCTCCCATGCTTGTTCTCTCCAAGGAGTGTATCTACCTCAGGTAAATGTTCAACTCATATGCCTGTCTATTGTTTGGCTGGAAGCCACAGGTGTGGGTTCAATTACAGACCTGAAGGGCAGTTAGGAGCCATAGTCTCAGTGGTTCCACCAGGCTCTATTGGACCAGCAAACCTGGTCCTCCCCTTTTTTTTTTTTCCAAATGATTTTGAGTTTTGTTCCACATTGTTCTCCCTGTCTATCCAGGATTTCCTACATAGATCTTCTTCCAAGTCGTTGACTGTAGTAGCCAGGCATCATCTAGTTCTTCTGGTCTCATAGTCATATGGGCTGCAGATTGGATGGTGTACCAGTCGCTAGGACTAATTGTTTCCATGAATTTTTGGTTTTCTTCATTCTTCTTTGCTCTGGATGAGGAGAGATCTATTGTTGCATCTAGATGGCAGCTTGCAAGCTTTTAAGATCCCAGTCACTACTCGCCACAGTAGGAGGTGGAACAATGTTTTGTGTAGTATGTTATGCCAGTTGAGCTTGATGTCCTCTGCAACTATGGTCCCAAGCCCACAGGTTCAACTACTTGGTCCCTCTGGGTAGCTGGCTCTGACCAATCAGTGACTACAACCTTGCCCCTTGTCAGCTCTACTACACACCTGGGAATTCAGATCATACACATAAAGGTATAGGACCATTGTCTTCCAACCCTATACATGGTCTTGGGTACACTCCCCACTTCATGTTGTTGTTGTTGTTATTTGCCGTCGAGTCGGTCCCGACTCATAGCGACCCCTCCTTGGGTTTCCGAGGCAGTATCACTACGGAAGTAGGATTGCTCAACCTTCCTTCCGAGGAGTGGCTGGTGGGTTTGAACCACCAGCCTTTTGGTTAGCAGTCAAGTGCCTTAGGCACTATGCTACCAGAGCTCCTCCCCACTTCATAGACATACCTAATAGTTCAGCCTGTCCACCCATCTATCCACCCATATGCCCATGTTTGCCTTCACGGACAGCACCGTACTATATGTGCAAATGGGTTCATCTTTGTTGTCTGTACTTCCCACGTACCTCTCTATGTCTTTCTCTTCCTCAATGCCACTATATTGATCACTCACATTTGGCACATTGCCCTTCTCTTCACCCAAATCAATACTTTAAAATTGTAATTTTCAAACATAGGCAGTTTATTATATGTTGATTATACCTTAGTTAAGCTTTAAAAGAAAAAAAAAAGTGATATAAAAAGTACTAATAGAGCCTCAACACCAAAGGAATTAACAATCCAATTGAAAATGGGCAGAAGACATGAATAGACCCTTCACCAAGGAGGATATTCAGGTGGTCAGCTAATACATGAAAAGATGCTCACAATCATTGGCCATCAGAGAGATGTAAATCAAAACAACAATGAGATATACCACCTCACCCCAGCACTGATGGCAAAGTTCAATGAGACAGAAAATAACAACTGCTGGTGGGGATGTGGAGAGATTGGGACTCTCATACACTGCTTGTGTGACTGTGAAGTGACACAACCACTGTGGAAAGCAATATGGCGATTCCTTAGAAAGTTGGAATTGGAGATACCATTTGACCAAGCAATCCCATTGCTAGGTATATATCCTGGAGAGGTGAGAGCCAGGATAGATACATGCATGATCATGTTCATTACAGCACATTTACAATAGCAAAAAGATGGAAACAACCTACATGCCCATCAGCGGAAGAGTGGATGACCAAATTATGGTACATACACATACTGGAATGCTATGCAGCACTAAAGAATAACGTAGAGTCTGCAAGGCACCACATAATATGGATGAATGTGGAGGACATTATGCTGAGTGAAATAAGTCAATCACAGAAGGACAAACAGTATTAGTTCGTTGTTGTGGAGGGTCAAGGAAAGGTTTATATATGGAGGGAAACTTTCTTTGTTGGTTGCCAGGGGTAGGAGGGGAGGAGAAGGAATACTGCAACAACAACAACAAAAAAAATGCATTGACCCATGTGACTTTAGTTTTGTGTATTTCACTGTACATAAATTACATTTCAATAAAATAAATTTTTTAAAAAAGTACAAATAGAACTTAACAGAAATGAAGTTGAAAACATGATAAACAGCCGACTTCAGCTGGTGTGCGCTGGTATAGATCTGATGTTGAGTTTAAAAAAAAATATGAAAGAGTTGGAGACATGGAGGATTAAATAAATAGGTTTATATGTTTATACAAAGTTCTTCGAAGAGATGATCTATAGAGTGAGGAAGAAGCCATATTCTAAGAGATAATGACTAAGAATTTTTCAGAAGGACATTAATCCTCACCAAGGTGATTGCTGAGTGGGTTAGCGGAAATAAGTCCATGCATTATAAATACATTATAATAAAAATGCAAAATACCAAAGATCCCTTCCTCTACCTCCCCAAAAAAGAATAGAAACAAACAAGGGAGAAACTACAGTACTTAAAGAAGAATAATTTTTAGATTGGGATTATAGAAACTCTGAATGAAAGCTGCAAGAGTTGGATATCTTCAAAGTGCTGAGAAGAAATAACTGTCACCAAAAATTCTAAGCTGTAATTCATATGAAGTTGTATATACATTGCTACCATGAATACTAAGGAAGATGATGGGGAGAGAGTGTAGATGTAGGTAGGCTAATCTGCCATGACTTTTAACTGTTGTTGTTGTTGTTATGTGCCGTCGAGTCGGCCCGACTCATAGCGACCCCTCCTTGGGTTTCCGAGGCCGTATCACTATGGAAGCAGATTGCCCAACCTTCCTTCCGGTTTTAACCAGCAGAGGGAAACAGTGGGAACAAAGAAAATGTTATCTATTTAAGGATAGATAGGTAAGTAGAAGAAATATGAAGCACAGAGAACAGATAGGATAGCACAAAAAAGATCGTAGGAAGATACTGAAGTCATAGGTTCTAGCATCTAGTGCGTCCTGATTTCTCAATGAAAATCTGTTATGAAGACAGCCAACTAGAAACATCTCCCTTGTAAGTGGGTCTCTGTACATTTGATAACTGGAAGTTGAAATACCTGGCTGACTGGTTGCACATGCATACATTTGGCAGTGTTGTGAGGGGCCTGAAGAAGTGAGCTTTTTGACCCTCTTCTCATTGCCCCTTACTTGAGAAATGTTTTCCTACTCTGTTACTGTGGGTATAGCTTGTTACTAATCCTGACAATTTAGCTCTGGGACTCTGCTTTTCTTAGTTACTGTCCTCCATTAGTCCAGATTTCACCCGTAAGATTTTAGACCAGAAAAAAGAGTCAGCCTTGAGAATATTGGTGTGGGACGTACAAACTAAAATTTCCATTTATGCTTAATCTTCATTGTTTCTCACATACAGAATAGTAGTCTGTTCAGACAGCACGATCATTTCAACTGAAATGGCAACATTGCCACCAAGCTGCAATTCTAGATAAGTGACAAAAGAACATCGCAAACAAGGCTTTAGAGTAGTTGGCTACCTAGACAGAATGTGTTTATAAACTAATGGACACCTATGAAGTTTGTTTGAATAAAAAGAAGTACAAAAAAGTGAGATGTTAAAAACATACAGGAAAATAAAAATTATATGGTCTGCCAAAACTTTGCTCAAACATTTTCTCTACCCCTAGAGTTCTGGGAAATGTCCAGTATTTGAGAACTAACTGTCCTCAGGGATGTACGTAGAAAAGAATAGCTAAACGTCCATTTCTCTTACCTTAAAAAACTTACACAACCTGAAAGCAAGCAGACCTACATGGCTTATTTTTGAACCCAAGTTTTACCAGCCTTGAGACATTCTCCAAAATTTTAAGGAAGCCATGCCAGTATTGTCACCTCAAAGATAAAATACATTTTAAACTTAACATCATTCTTACAGATGAGTGAAGTATAATTTCCTATATAAATTTATTATCTAACCTGCACTGATGTTCAGTTATTACTAAAGTTATTTTCTTTTTAGTAAGCAGCACTTTAGGAGGCCAGTATATGTGACAATAGCATTTGATAAACAGCTAAATTGTCCATTGCCTCTCACTTTTGAGGGCGAACATTATGTAAAGCTATTCTGATTTCAGGGAGAAAAACGAAACCACCACGACCAGATTCCCCAGCCACTACACCAAACATATCTGTAAAGAAGAAAAACAAAGATGGGAAAGGTAAGTACTACTGTAAATTCTCTATAATATGAATGGGTCAAATAGCATTCAGATTGCATTAGAGTGTCTGGATATTGTAAGTAGAAACCACCAGCTTTCTTGACATAATGGAATAGATCTTAATGCTACCACACATTTATAAGATATGTTTAGCACTTTCTGTAAAGAGGAGATGGGTGATAATGTATTTACAGAAATCTGTTTGAGTGATTTTCACTTCCATGTCAAAAGAATCCATTCTTTTGTTACATAATGAGGCTCTTAGAAGAGTTTAGCCAGGTTAGGTTTTCACTTCATAGGCACTTTAGTATGTTGTCTTAATGTTCTAATGTTTTCATAACTGCTTCCCAAATTTGAAGAAAATTGCTGTATGGCTGACACTACCTCTGATATAAAGAGAACAACTACTGAAAGATTTTATATAACTTTCCCACTGCTTACTTTATGTAATGGTTCTTCAAGAGGCAGAAAAAATTAAGTCTCAAAGAACTTTGCAACTCTTGTTGTTATGTGCTGTGGAGTCAGACCTGACTCATAGCGACCACCCCTTGGGTTTCCGAGGCATTATCACTATGGAAGTAGATTGCCCAACCTTCCTTCTGATGAGTGGCTGGTGGGTTTGAACCACCAGCCTTCTGGTTAGCAGTCAAGTGCCTTAGGCACTACGCTACCAGAGCCCCTGCTTTCCAACTAAGTCATCACAAATCTGATTGACAAGATCTGTTCAGAATTTCAATAAGAGACTAATGAAAAGATCTGTATTAGACTCTAAATATTAGGACCCTTGCACCATAGAAATCTAACTGAACTTTGTAGTATTTTTGTATAAAGATGGAACTTTTATAAGGCTTTTTAAGTTATATTTTATTGTGCTCTTTCAAAGGAAATTTTGGTCAGTTAAAACGAAATTGTTTTTGTTTCAGGGAACACGATTTATCTTTGGGAGTTTTTACTGGCATTGCTTCAGGACAAAGCTACCTGTCCTAAATACATCAAATGGACCCAGAGAGAAAAAGGCATTTTTAAATTGGTAGATTCTAAAGCAGTATCTAGGTTGTGGGGGAAGCACAAAAATAAACCTGATATGAATTATGAGACCATGGGAAGAGCTCTCAGGTATGTGACATTTTTATAGTTCATTGTGTTAAGAATCTCATTTCCTAAATACTAAAAATATAGAGGCTAAAAAATTAAGGAGCTAAAGGTTCATGAAATGTTACTGAATTTTAGTTATTTTACATATTGAAATCAGTATGCATATATTTAGAAATTTTATTCCAGTCTGGGAAAATGTTTCTCTTCCAAGAAATTTTTGTGCAAAAAAGAGGTATTTATTTATAAAAAGATTAGAAAATGTGAAGCTGTCATCAGTGATTGTAAACAAACCACAGGGTCATATGTTTTGGCACATTAAATTTAAATTCAGCACAAAGTACACATGGTGATAATGCAGGTACTTAAGAAGATATTATTTGAGGGTTCATTTTTAAACATAAATCTTGGGCATGATATGCTATATATTTTTCAGAATAAATTAATGCTGCAAGAATAATACTTGTTGTTGTTGTTATGTGCCGTCGAGTCGGCCCCGACTCACTAGGTAGTAAGAAATTTCTGGAGCTCACTTTTGTTTTTCTGTGTTCATGTCATTTATTCTTCAACATAAATGTCCTTGAGAGTCATGTTACAAATAGCAGTGGAGCTGAATGATTTTAAGGGTATATTTAATTTGATAACCTTTTTCCGAAACTCATACCAAAAAACCAATCTCACTGCCATGGAGTCAATTCTGACTCATAGTGACCCCCATTGGGTTTCCAAGGCAGTAGATCTTTATAGAAGTAGATTGCCCCATCTTCTTTCCACAGAGTGGCTGATGGGTTTGAACCACCAACCTTCTGGTTAGTAGTCAGATGCCTTAGGCACTACACCATCAGAGCTCCCAAACTAGAACTATTTAATTACAAGGTTTTTGTGTGAGTTTTTAAGCTTACACATTACTTTCTCCTTGTTTTAATTAAAATTGATGACAAAACTTAAACTACTACTTATATATCATTAAATATTATACACAATGCAATCAAATAACTGAATCAAATTTAAACTTTGGGAACAAGTTATAGGAAGCTATGGAGGGGAAACAATTTCTTGGGGGTGAAGTGGAGAATTGTAGTAGATTTGAATATCCCTGAATAATGTATGTAGCAGAAAGGTAGAGGAAGGAAGAAAAGTGAAAGTCTAGAATAATCTGTTTACTCTGTCAGTAATAATCCCTTAGTTGGAACTCATTTTAGATTTAGTAGGTAATAAAGACTTTTCTCTGTCTGTGAAGAAATGTGAATGTTTTGCATATATTTAATTTCAAGCTTTTGCTTATGATTAGGAACATTTGAATATCATTTTAACTATAGAGAGAAATATTGATGAAATTGTCTTCTTTCAATAGGTACTATTACCAAAGGGGTATTCTGGCAAAAGTGGAAGGTCAGCGCTTGGTGTACCAGTTTAAGGAAATGCCCAAAGATCTTATTTATATAGATGATGAGGATCCAAGTTCCAGCATTGAGTCTTCAGATTTATCACTATCTACAACAACCACTTCAAGCAAGAACCAGGCAAGCCGATCTAGGGTATCTTCAGGTCCAGGGTTAAAAGGAGGAGCCACTACAGTTCTCAAACCAGGGAATTCTAAAGCGGCAAAACCCAAAGATCCTGTGGAAGTTGCACAGCCATCAGAAGGTTTGAGGACAGTACAGCCCACACAGTCGCCATATCCCACCCAGCTCTTCCGGACTGTTCATGTAGTGCAGCCAGTACAGACTGTCCCAGAAGGAGAAGCAACCGTAACCAATAGCATGCAAGAGGAAACGTTAAATTCTTCTGTTCAGAGTATTAGGTGAGAATACTGAAGTTACTAGTGCATGATACCACTGTGCGATGTTCTGCCCAGAGCCATTATGTAGTTAAGTAGATTGAGATTCAGAAGTGAAAGTAATAATTACATAGATGATAATTACATAAATTTTAAGTTAAAACTTTTTTTTACTGTTAGATTTAAAAGACATAAAATTGCTCTGACAAATTGTTACACAATTTTCTAAATGCTTATTGTTAATTTCTGTACTTATCTCCTCATGGATCAATAACAATCACAGATTGGCACAGGTCTACCAACCATATGTTAAAAAGCACTGTATTAATAAAAATCCTATGATGTCATTTATATCGCCATTCTGCAGTTGAGAAAAGTGAAGCACAGAGCAAAGCAGTTGGTTATTTAGCTAATGAGGCCAAATTAGATCCCTTTAAGTTAGAATTCTTGATCAACAGATTGTTTCAGTAATAGTAAATATTCCATCAGTCCTCTATCAATGATATCTTATTTTACTTATTTAAGTTTAGTGCAGTATACCTGTGTATAACTGCATTGATCATGCAAGTAGTGATCCAAATAAGAGAAAATCCAGAGAATGGTTTCAGATATATTTTCTAACCGATTCAAAAGCTGTAAAAATTCAGTATAAATTGATATTCCAAGATCTTTCAGCACACATTTAGTTTCAAAAAATAAATATTCCATGGGGTCATCTTATCATGGAATACTTCTAAAGTTCAAACAGATAGGGACACCAAAAGTCTAAGGTTGAAATGTTCTCTTTTTCAGCCTTATAGATTGGCAGAAGTTGGAAGAATAGTTTATGTTTGTTTGTTTAATCAAATCATATTTACCTCATAGTCTTAGGAAAAATGTGAAATAACAAATAGACCAAGAAAACACTGTCTCCTTTTGACTTGGTGCCTCAGTAATCGGGGACTGGTCTAAGCTGATTTAGAATGGTGGTTGTGGTGATGTGGGGAAGCAGAAATGTAGATGGGCATTTACAGTGTCAGTTTTTCTGTTTCTACTGTCATGAATTTCCAAGAAATTAATTACAAAACTTAGGAGCCCTTCCAAAGCCAATAAAAATGACTCTTTGATTAGTTTCGTTAACAAACTACAGTCCCCCATACACTCCAGAATATGAATGATCTTCATCTGATCTCGAAGTAAATCAATATTACCTAGAATCCAGACAGACTTGGATTGTCCTTGTACAGTCAGTTTAAACTTTCAACATTATGGAAATCTAATTCTCGTAACTCTTTAGTTGAATTGTAAGAAGAGGAAAATAAAGATCTTTTTTTTTTCTAATTTAATTGGATAGGAATGATGACATTTTCAACTTTAGAAGAGTACTTTCAGCTCTCATTTTTTCCTTTTAATACTTTATTTTCCTCTAGGTCCTATTGGTTATATGTGGTAACTGAGTATGTATTAGGAGTATATAGCTCCTCCCACTGGTTTCTGGGCTTTTTCCATCTTACTGTTATTGTTATTGTTTGTGTTGATAGGGAATATACAATGACCAATAGTCACTAAGACCCCCTACATAAAGTGTTCTAAAGTAGGCTTGTCATGCTGTTTTCTTGGAGCTATTGTTAGATCTGCTGTTGTTAGATCTGTTGTTACACATAGAAAACCAAAAAAAAAAAAATGAAACTGCAGATCCAACTCATAGTGACCCTTCTTGGGTTTCCAAGGCAGTATGACTGTGGAAGTAGATTGCCCAGCCTTCTGTCTGAGGAGTGGCTGGTGAGTTTGAACATAGAGTGCAGTCCAGTTTGTGTAGCCTTGCTTGCCAGCTCCTTGTGCTTTCCTTTCTTTCCAGTAAGCCTCACTACATGCCTGTACCTTAGTCTGGTATACACTGGCATTTCAGTTGATTCTAACCACCACCTCCTCCTATATGTTTAAATCCGTAGTAGTCAGATTTTATGCATTGCCATTTTCCCCAGCACCTAGCATAGCATCTGGCACATAACATGCATTCATATTTATTGAATTTTCTTGAAGTAGTGTATGTATTCTTTCTCTGCCTTCTCTGAGGTTAATAAATTCTCTTAGTAGATTCTATGTGAAGAAATACAAAATTTCACTTGCTCAAACTTGAACTCATACATTCTTATTATATTAAGTCATTCCTCTGTATATGGTTTTTAATTTTTAATTCTCTTCTCTTATATATTTTGTTATCTACCCAAAATTCCTACTTATTTCTAAGCAGTTAAACTTTTAATAGAATGCATTTTAGTCCCTGAAGTTACTAGATGTGGTTTGGTTTTGAAGACTTACAGCTCCTTGGTTTGTGTTTTTTAATCTTGTTCCTCTCTACCATATAGGAAGAAAAGTGTTAAATAAATTTCAAGCAAATTGTACATATCACGCTGAAATTTTACCATATTATTACACTTTTTCATTAGAATTAATTTCTAAAATTTGTTTATAGTCCCTTGTTTAGAGATTTTTTTTATATTTACATTTTTATAATTTCCTTAGCTTTTTATTATGAAAAATTTCAAGTATATAGAAAAGTTTAAACAGTACAACAAACACCTATTTACTGTCATCTTCTAATCACAGATGGCTTGCATTATTCCCTCTTCGTTTTCTGTCTGTATTTATTTATACTCACTTTTTTCTGTTTATTTGTGAAGTAAGGTGACCTCATCATAATATTTAAACTTAGAACTCCTAAAAACAGAGGCATTATCCTGCACAATCATAGTATTACTCCCACCAAAATTAACAATAATTTGGCCATGTCTTTCTTGATCCTTTGACTCTTTATTAATAAAAACATAAAAAGACCTTATTTTTAAGATTTTTCTGTGACTGAGAGAAGGTAGATTGCCTGTTACCTAAAATTTAGCTAAATTAATATAGTAAGAGTTAAAGAGTTCTGTCTGCCAAACTTTTGCATATATTGATCTATAGCATACTCTTAGTTCATTGAAGTGTAGACAGCATTATCCCCATTTTACAGATGAGGAAATGGAAGCAAGGAGAGGCACTAAGGAGCTTGGTCACATCTAGTAAATGTAGGTATCTAGCCAGTATTATAAGATTTTTATAAGGTAAGTTTAGCCCACAGCAGTGAGCTTAATGACATGCTGTACTGCTGACTGATTTACATAAATCACAGGAATTATCAGTTATTTACAATGAGGCAGCAACATTTCAACTTTTTTCCTTTGCTTATTTCTCTTCATCTCAGATAATTGCATATATCTGTGTTGAAACTAATTAAATTTTGGGGGGTATTGATTCATGGTATTTATGTGTTCAGTTTATACAAATTCAAACTTGACTCTGTCTTCATTTTACAAGAAGGAATGAGAGAGAGAGAACTTCTGGTAAATGATTTTACTGAAATTGTATCCTGGTAAACTTGGTGGATGTCTGTATAACTAGCAAAATACTTACAATATTTCTATGTGTATTCAAGCAAAGCAGTCTGTCTTAAAGGTCTTTAAAATAATTAGACTCTAAAAATGTATAATGTATAAGGTACCTGAAAAGCAATGTGATGAATGTAGTCATAATCCTCCCACCCTCCAGCTGGGCCAATTATTATATCTGACAGTGAGTCAAATGAACTATTCTGAGTCTGTTTCTCTGGAATAAGGATGATAAAAGTTAACCTTAAAGGAAGTTGTGATGATTAAATGCCATTTCCATAGTAGATTATTTGAAAAAAGTTAAATGTTATGTTGCATATCTTTCTTAGCTTCAGCAAGTTTGATGAATTATAAATTAGCAAGCATTGTACCAGTTCCACTTGGTTATAAGAAGTTTAGAATTTTAAAAAACAGTTAACTATAATACACCCATGTGACCAAATATAACTGACAGTTTAATCATTAACTAAGAAAAAAAATAATTTAAAATTACTATGATTTGGGAAAGGCTATACAATATGTTTTCCTTTGCTCACTGACTTTTTTATTAGTAGAAGTTACTTTCGAAAACGAAAAAACGAAACTCACTGACCTTGAGTCGATTCGACTCGTAGCGACCCCTCCTTGGGTTTCTGAGGTGGCATCTCTACAGATGTAGATTGCCTAACCTTCCTTACGAGGAGTGACTGGTGGGTTTGAACTGCCAGCTTTCTGGTTAGCAGTCAAATGCCTTAAGCACTATACCATCAGAGCTCAAAAAAAATTTTATTAGAATTTGTTTGAATAAGCCAATATATTTACATCATAGACATTGTATATATGTATTTTCTGGCAGATGGCAGTCACGTGTCTAAGAAAGGAACATCTTTTTCTAATCTTAATAAAAGCATTGAGGGGCTAATGGTAACCCTGATTAGCATTATGGAAAATTTCCAAGTACATTATTGCTTATCTAGTTACATAGAGTATGAGGAAGGGAGGAGGTGTGTATTAAAGAGTAGTAAGTGGCCACGGTTTAAAGAATAATTATAATAGTAAGTATTCACCCTTTGCAGAAGTTATTCAGGGATTAAGATGTGGCAGTATGGTTAAGCACATAGGCTCCATAGTCAGACTGCCTCTTACTAACAGGTATTCAACTCTTTGTGCAAATGTTTTCTTACCCAAAGAACAGAAATAATAGTATTTATTAAGGTCATTGTGACAATGAAGTAAGATAACACTTAGAACAGCTTGTTGTTGTTGTTGTTGTTGTTGTTGTAATATGCCGTTGAGTTGATTTCGACTCATAGTGACCCCTCCTTGGGTTTCTGAGGCGGTATTGCTACAGAAGTAGATTGCCCAACCTTCCTCCTGGGGTGTGGCCGGTGGGTTTGAACTGCCAGCCTTCTGGTTAGCAGTCAAGTGCCTTAGGCACTATGCCACCAGAGCTCCTTAGAACAACTTAGTACATATTAATTACATCATTAATATATAATATTAATATTAATGTATATCTACATTGGCAAGCTATACATTTTTATAGATACAGTCTATGTGCTTACTCTATGCTAAGCACTCTTTTATCTGTGTGTCCATGTATATACACTCTTGGTCTGGGAAGCTCTTGGGTCTTTTTTGTTGTAAGAATGTTATCTGACCGTATGGCTTAGATATGCTAGTTCAGTAAGTGGGGGGAGTGTATTTTGAAAAACTCCCTACCTGCCAAGCTGATTAATTTCTTTCCAATTCACCCCTGCCTACCCAATCATATTAGTGTATCTGGTCTTTATTCCTTACCACACCCTAGCCAGTTATTGTCAGTTCCTATTCATGGAGACCCCCAAGTGTGTCAGAATACAACTGTGTTCCACAAGGTTTTCAATAAGTAGATCAAACCACTAACTATTCTGTTAGCAGCTGAGCATGTTAACGGTTTGCACCACTCAGGGACTCCACCCAAATAGTAAACCCCACCAAAACACGTTGCCATCAAGTTGATTCCGACTCCTAATCACTCTATAGGACAGAGTAGAACTGCCTCATAGGGTTTCTAAGGCTGTACCTGTAGAGAGAAGCAGATTGACACATCTTCCTCCTGTGGAGTGGCTGGTGGGTTTGAACTGCTGACCTTTCAGTTAGCAGCAAAACGCTTAACCACTGCACCACTAGGGCTCCTTAGCCATACCCTACTCACCTACTAAATCCTCATTACCCAACTCACATCTCTTCTAGCTCTCTCATTCAAAAGAGCTGTTAATAGCCTGCTCTGGACTGATTGATCCTCATAATGGTCATTTGGGTGACAATCTGAACACAGGAATCTGTATCTGTGATGAATGAGATAACTAGCCATCCTGTGTCTTCCCAGTCCATTTGAACCTGTGAGTTGAGCTAATTGTTTTTTTTTTTTATCTTTACACCTAAACCATTTATTTTCTCCCCCAAAATTTAATTTCATATGTGAAAAGCCATATATCTATAACCTTCTACAATTTAGCTTTAATAATCTACTGGCAATAACTTATATTATGTTTATGGGAACTAATCTGTTACCCATTTGAAGTAGCAATCATTTATCTTTCATAAAATAGCTTTACAAAATTCAGAGAAAACCCAGTTGAGATCCAGATGCTGGGTTTTTCCAACTGCAGTTTGTTTTTATTAACAGTGGCCATAAAGACAAATTTCACAGCTGTGAACTTTTACAATTAGATTGACTTGTGATATCATTAATATGCCTCTTTCTTCAATAAATGGGATTAACAACCTGACATAAACTGGCAATGCTAGATTAACAGCACCAAAAGGTTTTATGTTAAAATGTAGTTTTGTAACTAAAATCCGTGAAATTATTTAAGTCTTGGAAAATTGCTAAAACACACTTCTTTTATGTTTGCCAAAGCTTGTCTTTTTTATATTCTGCCAGCCTGAGAATCCTCACAAGTCAATTATGAACATGACTATATTTATGTAAATATATTAGCTATGAAATATTAAAATTATTTTAAGAATTCCATCACGTGTTTATTTAAGACAGGTTTTTTGTCTTTACTTTTTAATCTGTATTCTTTATCTGTGACTAAAGCAAACCACATTGAAAACTAGGGTCACATGAACTCGCTCACTGTTTCGGATATTATTCTTCAAATATTAACATAATGAGAATGAATCAGATACGTGTCTTTTTAAGTTCTTAGAGTTCTTTCTAGCAGCTCACATATAACGCCTCTGCTGAGCATTTTTATATTTCCCTTCTTCCCCAATAAAATTGCTTCCCTGTTTGTGTTAATGTAGCACTTTGTACATACCTATTTTCCATAGAACTCAGCAGATGGTATCACATTTAAAGACCGGAGTGTCTTGTGTTTGGCATCTCTGTGTCTACGATATTTAATACAGGGTCTGGTAACCCTAATACTATGTTGCATTGAAAAGCTGAGAAATTGCATTCGACATATATAACTTGTATTTTGTCTTAATGACTTGTCAAGTGTTAAAATTTTAAATGATGTGGAATATGCTAATTTTCTCACTTTTGTTTCGCAATCTCAATAGGACTATACAGGCTCCAGGCCAAGTTCCAGTGGTGGTTTCTCCAGGGAACCAGCAGTTGCATACAGTAACACTCCAGACAGTGCCACTTACAACAGTTATAGCCAGCACAGATCCATCATCGGGTACTGGATCACAGAAATTTATTTTACAAGCCATTCAATCCTCACAGCCCATGACAGTACTGAAAGAAAATGTCATGCTGCAGTCACAGAAGCCGGGCTCTCCTCCTTCCATTGTCTTTAGCCCTGCCCATGTACAGCAGGTTCTTCCTAGCAATGTTCAGTCCATTTGCAATGGAACCGGCTGTATGGCTTCTTCTGCATCCTTCAACGCTTCTCCACCCGTGGTGACCTTTTCTCCTCGAAGTTCACAATTGGTTGCTCACCCACCTGGCACTGTCATTACTTCAGTTTTCAAAGCTCAAGAAACGAAAAGTCTCATACAGGAGGTAGTGAAAAAGGAGGTCAAGGATAATTTGAATGAAGACACTGAGAAAAGTGAGCAACAGCCACAGCCTTATGTGATGGTGGTGTCCAGTTCTGGTGGACTGGCCTCTCAGGTAGCTATGAAACAAAACGAACTGCTGGAACCCAACTCTTTTTAATTAATATACCAAAGGAATTATGGATGATTATTTTTTAATTGAACATTGCCAGTTGTTCGCAAACTATCTAATTCTATGACAAATGCAACAGAAGTTCCTAATTTTTGTAGTTAATTTTTAAAATAATTTAGAGTTAATTTTTACTTTGTTAGATGAGAGAGGGAAAAACCCAAGTGTTTTTTGTTTGTTCTCCAAATGTTTCAGAACTCATTTGTGAAGGAACAGACATTTTATACTATGAAAACATTCTTTTGAGATTTTTTTTTCAGTTGCTACATCATAAACATTTTTAAACTTTATTTTCTAATTTTACATTTTAATAGTTTTCTGATTTTTTTGTAAATAAGTACTTAAATGTAAGGTAACAGGAAATTTATATGGGAACTGTTTTCATTCCACATGTATGTTAATTAAGTCTTGACTCTCTCAAATGCAAAAAAACCTGTTTTATGCTTTGTTAAAATTATGATTTCACGTAGATTGACTTTAGTTGGCTGCACTGTGAACTATGGATATGTAAAATAGAACATTAAAAATGAAAGTATGCTCAGGATGTGGATGAACATAGACTGCTTTGGAATTATCTCCAGAAGCAGGAGAGTATAAAAACATTAGCCTAAGAGTGGCTTTCCCACTTAACTGTGTAACCTTGGGCAGGCCACTTAATCTTCCTGGACCTCAGTTCTGCACCTTCCAGGAAGGAATATATTAGACTAGATGATCTCCCATTTTCCCTTGTAAAACTAAATTTTATGATTATAACTCTTGTATTTTGAATTTATATCAATTAAAACATTATCAGGTTATATCCTAATGTAAATATAGCTAAACTATGGAAGAAAAATAAGTAGCTCTGCAAAATTCATTCTCCTTTATCAGTAAGATCTGCCATAAGTTTAAATTCTTCTTAAATCCTTTGTTCATCAACTCCTTAGGCCATTGTGGGTCATTGCTGAATGCTTAATGATATACTGCTGTTGTAAAAGAGTCAAAGACTTTTCTTAAGGGCCCAGAAAGCAACTTGAGCCTTGGGCTAATCTGGCCAATAATCAGTTGCTATAAAAGCGTAATTGCTTTATGTTTGGATCACTTTTTTATTGGGGGTAAAAGGGGGGAGGTTTGCATACAAAGGTATATACACATATATATCCAAGTTTCTGAAACGAAATACTTTTTAGATTACTTTTTGAATTGTAAATAATGTACATTTTACTTTCTCAAGAAAAATTGTTTTCTTCAAATTTTGTAGTATAGCAAAGAAAAATTTTTGTAGATGAAAAAACCATTATGTTTAGAGGTCTAATGTATGTTTTCGTATTACAGAGTGAATTTGTATTTAAACAAAATTTTTAAATTTTTGAATCCTCTAAACGTTTTTGTATCTTCAATTGGTTTATTAAATAAATCATGTAAAAATTCTCAAATGTTTGCGAGTAGATATTTTCTAAAGAACAAGTGTGCAGAGAATGTTCCTCTATTTACAGTGTTACTAAATGTTTATTTAACAAATCCCATTAATGTTATTAGAATTGAAGAATGTCCTCATCCTGTAACTTTTCCTTCCCACCATGCCAAACCATGATTCCCAGCCATCTTCGCACAATGGCTTACCAGGCTTCAAAATTTAGAAACCAGTAAAATGTTCACAGCAACAATATTAAACACAC